AGTGAGTGAGTGAGTGAGTGAGTGAGTGAGTGAGTGAGTGAGTGAGTAAGTGAGTGAGTGAGTATGGGTAAAAAGCATTCAACAACAAATACCACAGATGGGGACAACTGATTCTATCCATTCTGCAACTAAGCAATACTCACACTTGTGACAAAGACTGTGTCAGTGCACAGATGGACACTTGTGAATGAAAATTTAACTTAAAGAACTTCGAAATCGGCATAACAAGTAAGAAAAAACTGTTGAGCATTAAAGTTAAACCTTTGTTTAACTGTTTAACTCTTTCCAGAAGCTGCACCCATCCTGCCCCAGCACAGAAGAGAAACACACCTCTAATCGTTTGCAGATTAAGATACATAAGAGCAAGATGGACTCAGACTTCCATATGCTTTGCTCATTTGAGAGGAATTAACAGCATTAAAGCTGGGTGTGAGCCTAAATATAGCCTGGGAACCAATTTGCTTAGGGCAGCGCGATTTTCCACACGTGATAGCTACCGGCGACACAGGCCGCTGTCCCTGGTGCTGAAATCGTATCCGGTCTATTAAATGTATGCCTTCGGTGGTCATAAAATGAAGCCACGGAGACAGATCGAGCTTTGAGGTCTGGGAGTGTCTTTATTGCATCTTTATTGCTCTAGATGCAATAAAGACGAGGCAAAACGTTTAGAGAATAATGTTGGCTGACTGGATGCAGATAGTTGGACACACATAAAACTGCAATTCCTCACAAGCAACAGTGCGAGGCGCATGCCTCGGCTAATGCAGTTTAAGGAGAGAGAATGAGAGAGAGAAGGAAAGAGAGTTTGATTGATCATGTGGGCTATGGGAGCCTGCGAGAGTTGTCGAAAATTGCTGCATAGACGCCCCTTTGGCACCTATCTGGTAGCCAATGACTCCAAGCCATGCTGTGGTCATATAACCATAATTCCTCAGCATCCCCGTCAGCAAAAGCCCCAAGTCAGGGGCTGTTACCAGACAGTTCACTCTTCCGGGTTGCACTTCACCGGTAATCCACTATAGGCTACGTTAACTTACCGCAGTCCACACATAAGATCTTCCCAACATCCTTTTTTAGGTTCTTTCCACTTGTATCCAGGGGCGCAAACGATGCTTTGAAAACCAAGGGCTCGTCAGTGGGGTCCATGAAAAAGATGTACTTGTGGTTCTTCTTCACTTTGGTGCACGGAGCCTCGGATCCAAATTCCCCCACGGTGACGAGCTGTTCTCGCTCCAGACCCCCACTGTTTAGGGGCCAAACATCCAACACTTTGACATTCACGCGATAGGGCTCCGCAGAGACGTTCACAGGCGTAGACTGCACCTTGCCCTCGATCACCACAGCGGATTTGTAAGCCTGGTCCTGCAGGGAATTCAAACTCGGGGAGTAGCAGGCGAATGAGACCCCGATGACCAGCATGGATAAATGCACTGAATCAAGCCTCATGCCGCCTGCTTTGGCTCGGTGGTCGCTGGTCGCGTTGCGGCAGGGCTCTCTCAGCTGCGGGGCGATGGCGATGGAGCTGAGTTAAACGAAGAGACAGCAAGTAGGCTCCAGTAGCACGGCAGCGCGGCAGACCTTGCATAAGTGTCCATGCCATCGGGATCCGCTGCTTTTTCGGGTGATTTGCAGTGGGTAAACAGCAGCTTTGAAACAACAGGGAAACCGCGGGATGAGGCTGGGTTTCAAATCCAGTCAATGCTTTCTGCTAATAATAAGGCATCGCAGATGAGCTAAGCGAAGGATTGGCAGGATTCTAACCCCCGAGAAGATCCCTCCTATGCTGCCATAGTAGCCTTAACTGTAAGACGACGCCACTCTTTATCTTTGTCCCAAAATTGCAGTGGTAAGGTGCCGCTGTGATGGTTTTCTGTATCATCTGCAGCGGAGAGAAAAGACGCAAAATGCTGCAGTGAAACCACAAGTTGGGGAGTCCGATCATAAAGCAAAGGGAAGCGTTTCATTCCAAATAATAAGAACAGTTATTTCTCAACGGCAGCCACAGCGCTAGTACGCCGCCTTCCACCGCGGCTCTCTCTCCGCCTCCCCTACCAGCCACAGACGGAGAGAAAATAATGCCGATTGCCAAGGGGCTCCGTCAACAAAAACGCAGGATTGCACTCAGATATAGGCAACTGATGGACCAAAGGGTCGATCTCCTCACTCCCAAAACCCCGATGCTGCGTGCCGCTTACTCCATGGTGTCTATCGGCGGCGATCTCTCGTTCAAATGAAACAAACGAAATCCTAAATCCATGGCTGTCCCTCCTTAAAATTGCATCCTACTGTAGCCAAGGCATCACTCCGACAATCAAACAGGTTCACTCAGAAAAAAATGCAGTCGCATGTAGGTCGAGAAATCATATGGCTGCAATGCCTAAGGTGGAGAAAGCCTTTCTGGGTCTTCAGGAGACTGTTTGGAGCGAGTTTTGCGTCTCATCCCATTAAGTCATGCCCTGCATTCAGGTCACATTCGCTTCTCTGCCTCTAAAAAAACTGATGTTGAAGAACCGCATTAAATCTATACAGCTAATTCAGCTGCATCACTGAGGTCAAGAGCACAGAAAACACATGTTTAGCCACTTTTTAATTAGATAATGCTCGCTGAAAGTAAGTATCTCTGCATGTTTGTTGTTTTTATTTGAGGTTTCTAGGAAAAGGAGTAGTTCTTAAAGAGCATATTGGCAGAGGATGAGGACCTAAATAAGTTATTTATAGGCTATGGGTTATGTTTGATCAAATGACTGACAACAGAATTATATCTAAAACCAAAAATGGTTGACATGATATAATGCGGATACAGGATATTTAAATTACATTATTCACAAAGAGCGACATCTGCTGTCCACAGTGAACATCCAGTGAACCCCCAGCCACACGACAGCCACTTCATGTATGGTATATATTGCTTTAAATCAGTTTTGAAGAAAAAAAGCCAGTTACTGTGTTGACTGATCGTGTTACCAGTGACACACGGTTTGGGGTATGGAATGTACGCAGTATACAGGGAATTACACTGCATACGGAAGCCAAATTGGTTTGTTAAATATGTTATTTAAGATACAGGTGTGAGTGTAAACTGAAAGAACATCCGCTTTGGTTTTTGTATCACTGGATGATCCACAAACCTGACACAGGCTGCTGCTCTCCGTGGTGCTGAAAATGTAGCCTACACCTCTAGTGAATTAGAGCCAAGGAAGGTCCATATCTGGCAAAGCCATAAAATATACTACATATGACCTGGTATATTTTTTATTAAATGAGTAGTGGACATTTTAAACAACACCCTTAAAGGCAAAGCATGGTGATAGCACGTGTAAATAAGTGTGGAAATATCCCCTGAAAAGGGCCTAAAGTGATGTAAAGTGACAACTTCAGCACCCATCCAAAACTGTATAAGACTCAGTTGACTTTGGACGTTGCCGTCCAGTTGAGTTGGTCAGAACTCCTATGCAGCCCTACCTGTTACCGCCTGTGAGCGGAGCTGCAATTCCCCTCTGAGACCGAGAGGGGGCGCGCGCTCCCCGCGTTGCGTGTTGACATCAGAGTCGAAACGTGCAGCGTTGAATTTGTGCGTGTGTCGCTCGCCGTGCCACGACTCGCCGTTTTCTTGTCCATCTTGAGAAGGGGAGCAGATGCAGTCCGCCGTGCTGTCATAAAGGCCCCCTTTCGTGCACGTCTGCACGAGTCTCTCTCGCCTCCTGCGCGCCGTCGGGGCCTTAAGGCGCTGCGCCTGCAGACTGAGCGGGGTAAGGTAGGTCACTCACAGGAGCTGGCTGGCTGGGTGCAATGACGTTTTATGTAGGCTACATGTCATTTTGGGTCGCCGCTGTCCTGTCAAGTGTCATGACGTATACAGCCGAGGCTTATGGCATCGCCTGGTAGAGTTGACCAAAACCATGACATAGCCAGCAGTCTGCGGCAGGAGGCTGATCTGATGGGGGGGTCTGAGGGGGGAGGGAGGGGGGGGGAACCGGATTTAGGGGCGACGCCACAACATTCCTGGGGACGTGGGACAAAACTTTGAAAGGTGTGAGCCTTTTCCAAACTGCGACAGCACCTCGTTAGAGGCTGAAATCTGCTTTGGACGTGGCTTCTTGATCCCGACTGAGCCGCATTTTCTAATGCATATTCATGATGAAAACTGGAGCCAATGACTGCCTGTGTTGATTAAACTGACTGGTTTCAGTCTGTTTGTGTCAAAGCAGCAGATATGATTGTGAACAAAACTAGCGTTTAAACAACCATCCCTGGGTAAGCACATATATATTTAGGGAATAAATAGGTCTAATGATAAGATCTACGGTCAGAAAGAGAAAAATATATGTTTTCTCTTGTTGAAAGCGAAGAGAAATCTGACATCAACCTGCAAGAGAGCAGCTTGTTAGTGATTAAGTCGTTATTGTTCTGCCCCATATATATCCAGGGTCGTATAGACCACTTTATTTGTACCCGAATGACAACTGAAAAGAAATACTAATAGCCGAAGTGGGGGTGATATCCCCACTGCTTTATAAATAACGACGTAAAAAGTAGACGTTTGGACCGGGAACAAAATTTCCAGAGGAGACAGAGGAGCTACAAACCAGTTCCAGGTGAGCAGTAACACTCCAGACGGCTAACATACCTAAAAATAAAACCAGCACATAGACCCACGTTATGTTGATCACCCTGGCACAGTAACGACTTTCAATATTTTTTCCTCTTTTTATTTTTCCCTCCCAAACGTCCCATACGGTCTGGTTTTTTGCTCCTCTACGGATTCTGTGCAGCATCAAAACGGTCGTTTGCCGGCTCACTTTTGCTAAAATAAAGCAGGAGAGGTGCATAGGAGAATATTTTTAATACAATAAACCACAGTAACCCCCTTATCCTGCCTCATGTCCCGACAGAGTCGCTCGTTCTAAATCAAAGCTATGGCATGGCCAATTTTGACATTTCTATTTCTATTGTTTTTTAAAAACTTTTTTTTTTTATTGGGTTTTCAGTTTGAGAAAAAAATTCACATCGTTTTCAAGCTATTAACATTTAAGGCTTGGCGTATTCTGTCCTATCTTCACGTTGTTCTAATTAGTTTAGTTTTCTTTTTTTTCTATTCTGTTTTTAAATTATATATATATATTTTCGTGTAATAATAATTTTAACCTAATCGCAAATACCTTTTTATTTCTTTTTTTAACAGTATTGTAAATGTTCCTATTTGGATAGAGGGGGCAGAATGTTAGCCTCTTAATATTTGAATTTAGGCCATCAACAAAAAATAAATAAATAAATAAAAAAGAATTAGCTATGTCAGAAAAACAACTATCTGTCTATATATATATATATATATATATATATAGAAATAGATAGAAAATGTAAGTTATTTGGTCTCTTTTCAGGTAGCCTATAGCTCATACATGCGGTTAGGCCTTGAGGCTATCGCTCGAGGACGTAAAGTGAAAAAACATGGATGACGATAAAATTAACTTTTTTTTGTTTTTATCTTAAGGTCAACAACACATTATATATTCTGTTATTCATCTAATTCAAAGTCAAATGCACTTTCAATCAATTGGAGATGACTTAAAGAAAGAAAAGCAGAAACAACAACAGTGGTACATATTGGGTCCCCAAATCGCCAAAAGAAATTAAACTTTTACAACTGAATAAAACGTCCATTATAAAATATTGCTCGTTTTAGAGGAATATTAATGAAATACATAACGAATGAAAATATGATTAACTTAGAGCTGCAGAACACTTCTTTCATTTGGGTTTTGGAAATTTGGAAAGAAAAAAACAAAGATATGTTTAACTACACAAGAAAAATATAAAAAAAACAATAACTTAATCTGATCCATCTAAAATTATTCAAATGGCGATTAAACGAGGACAGTATCGAAGCCAGTATATGTGTGGCCCACAACTATTTAACAGACCAAAAAATGAATCCGAATGTATTTTCCATCGACACTCTCTTCTAAATTTTTAATTTATATTTCATAAGATATTTGTTGATTTTCTTTTTTCTTTTTACGTAAATTGATAGTTTTATTGGCATCACATTTTGGGCAAACCATTTTTTTTGGCCTAAAGTTTGTAGAAAAACACCAACTTTTTTGTTTGTTGTTTTTCAGAACCCCTAGAGACTGTTCAAATCCCTCTGCGGACGGATTTATCCAGACTAGATCAGCCCTATAGTGCACGCTTGAATCTGAGCTGTGGGATGCCTCTCCAGATAAATTTTCATTCAGATTAATTATCCTGGAATAGTCGACAGTTTTAATTGTATGAACATGAAAAAATCAGCAGGCTAGTCCATTAAACGCGTTTGGAAGATATAGATCAGTGAAAGGATTGTTGTGAGACCTAAAAGGCTGCGAAAGTGAAGCCTTACATTTAATCATCATCATGATGATAATGCGGCCTTTCTGTAGCGGTTGAGACGAGAGAGGCCTTTAGTATTTATGGGAAAGTCTGCTTCTTCAGCTTTCTTTTCAGGCCTGACGTTTTGTGTCACAAGCGGGTTATGAGTAAGCAAGGGGCAAGGTTAAAATAATCCAAAAATAACTGTAGGCTATAACCCAAAAGTTATAGATCAAACACAAAGGAATTATTTCCACAACGTGCCAATATCTCATAGAAAACGGACGTTCGTCTTTCAGACATTTTTGACGGAACTGTGCCTGATCAGAATAAACTGGTTCATAAAGTTTTCACTTTTCAAATAATTTATTAAGCTTTTATCTATGAGAAAAATTCAACCTTCGAAATATATTACTAATTGGGTTGACGGTCAAAAGGATAGATTCTAAACAGATGCTTTGATAATTTTGGTAAGTTTTCAAATCAGTGATTGTGTATCATTTCAAAGGCTGGTAAACTAATAAATGGCTTAAAAGACACAATGGGTATATTCCCAATTTCAAAAAGACTAAACTCACGCTTTGACTGTAGTAAATGGTGCTAAATCAGGCCAAGTTACCCCAAAATGTATCTGTTTTTTTTTTTTAAATGAATACATTTTAAATAAATAAACATACATATAAAGAGTGATTAATGTGGGCACTTGTGTGAGTTCTATTCTTGTAAGATTGCTTTTTACCAAAATTAGAGCGACCCTCAGGGTCTGCTTTACCGTGCAGTAGGACCGTCACTTTCAGATACGATAATGACTAATCGAAATTTAGTAATTCGAAGTATCCATTCCAGACTTCTGTTAGTTTCGTTTTCATTAGAAATGGAAACTAATAATGTCAAGCACTCGTCGAGAATAGAGACACAGCAGTCTGGATCTGCATTAACGCTCCCCTCATACTTTCTGTTACCTCTGTGTAGATCTCGCGAGAGCTCCGGCGTAGCTTTGGCTGGCCGTGGCTTTGCACCAGACAGAGGGAGAAGGCAGGCAGGCAGCATCATGGCGGACAGAGACAGTGGAAGTGAGCAGGGAGGAGCACCAACGGGCCCAGGCTTCGGTTCCATGCACCTAGCGACAGGAGGGGCGGGCTCGGCTTCCGGGCTTCAGCATGAGACGCAAGAGCTGGCGTCGAAGAGGGTTGACATCCAAAACAAACGCTTCTATTTGGACGTTAAGCAGAACGCGAAAGGCCGCTTCTTAAAGATAGCCGAAGTCGGGGCCGGTGGAAACAAGAGCCGCCTCACTCTCTCCATGTCCGTGGCGGTCGAGTTCCGAGACTACTTGGGGGACTTCATCGAACATTATGCCCAGCTGGGTCCTAGCAACCCGGGAATGGTACAAGACGAACCCAGGCGAGCGCTCAAAAGCGAGTTCCTGGTCCGAGAGAATCGGAAATACTACATGGATCTGAAAGAGAACCAGAGAGGACGGTTTCTGAGGATTCGACAGACCGTTAACCGGGGGCCCGGTTTGGGATCCACGCAAGGCCAGACTATTGCTCTGCCTGCCCAGGGACTAATTGAGTTTCGCGACGCTTTGGCCAAACTTATTGACGATTACGGTGTGGAGGACGAACCTGCAGAGTTGCCCGAAGGGTCGTCGTTGACTGTGGACAACAAACGCTTTTTCTTCGACGTGGGATCCAATAAATACGGTGTGTTTATGAGGGTAAGCGAGGTGAAGCCAACCTACCGCAACTCAATCACGGTGCCCTACAAAGTGTGGTCCAAATTTGGGAATACTTTCAGTAAATACGCCGAGGAGATGAAGAAGATCCAGGAGAAACAGCGGGAGAAAAGGGCATGCGAGCTGCAGCAGCAAGAGGAGATGCAGGCGGACGATGGAGACGAAGATTGATATAGAGAGCAAAAGAGAAACATGCAAGAGTAATGAAAATAACAAGAGAATTATAATTAAAACTCTACTGTATAAAGAAAGAAATCTAAAGATTTAACTGTAATGGTTTTAACTCCAAGGGAGCATCACTCTCAATATAAGAAACCTCCACAACCTGACAGTTACGACATGTTGTCACTCATCGCTGGATGTTACTCCACTTATCACCATTAATACAGTTAACAGGCTGCTAAACAAAGTAATAACATTATATTTGAACATTGTTTCCTACTTGACAAACAATATTGAACTGAGTGTTTATTTCCCTTATTAACAGAGAACTTTTGTACCAGTTAAAGCTATTGTTAAAAAAAAAAAGTGTTTGCAATGTTCAAATGGAATTATTGCAGAGTTCAGAGGAGAAAAGAAGTTTCCTTTACATGTGAGCAAAACGACTTCAGCACAAATCAGATATTATAATTTTTAAACCAAAATTCAAAAAGTTTATAACAGGTTGTCACATGTACTTGCCATCCTATTTACCTTTACCTGTGACTAGAAATGTGTTTACACATGAAATCATATGAGGGCTAGGCCTGCTTTGGAAACTGTTTAGATGTCATGCAGTATAAAAAAGGAATATATAGGCATTTTCATGAAATGAAATAAGTGCTATTTTTGTTGTGCAATATGCATTGCATAAAAAAATCAATTATATTTAACTGGTCAATGGATCCTGACATGACGACTTTTGCCAGAGGCATTCAAAGAAATATTAATATTGTAATTTTCTGTTTCAGTTGAAATTGTTGCCATGCAGATGGATATATTATAGACTACCTTTGTGTCTCGTTGTTAATGCAATGTGTTCATTTTAAAGGTACTAAGTGTGTATTTGATAGAGGAAATGCAGTGACGACATGTAGCAAATGGCCGGAACCGCAGAGGATCTAACGAGACAAACGCCCCACAGGTACTGGCTCACGTGGCGTAGGCTAATTCGGAGGAGTGCCATTGGTTAGTGTATCTGAAACAGCAGCATTTCGTGATCTTGTTTAGTCATAAGTCTAAATGGTGCCAAGGAGAGCTGTTGCTGCATGTAAACCTGCACTATGTTAGATTTCGTTGGTCTCCCAAAATACGGCTCCAGGACCCTTCCATATGTATCTTTATCTGCCTGTATTGTACAGATCTCAAGTTTGAGTACTGAGTGATTTCCATCCAAAGGCTTGGGTGTAGTTATTGTGGAAGTTGTTTCAAAAGCACGATTGTAAAAGGAGTGACCGTGTAAACAGTAATCAAAATATCACCGTCGAATTATGAAGGGGGCCACTGAGGAGCAGGCGTTGCTACGGCGATGAAGGTTGGGCTCCCTTCGGAGTATGTCACCAGATGTGCTCGACCCCACGAGTTGTGAGATCAGGAGGGGCCAAGTGCCGTGGGGCTATTGTGAATGCACATTTACAGCTCTTCTTTAGATTTGGACACCCAAATATCTACCTTGGGGTGATGAGATTCTGTTTAGGTCTAATTGTAAATATTTGGGCTGCCACACGGAAAACAACTGGTTGTAATCCAGTTCAGTCGCATCTCATAGATGTGTGATAGCAGTTTTATAAACTCTGTCAGTAAACTCCAGAGAAACTGGCAACAATCAGATTTATGTCAGATTTACCTCAGCGTTAAATTAAGTAATTGCTCCCATGTTTAGATTGACTGGAAACCAGCAAACTAGACTGTCCTTGACCACCTATTTTTGGAGCCTCTGGTATAGCCTAAATTATACCTGATTTGGAGCATCCTCTTCAGCATATAAACAACCTGGTGCCTTACACACTCCACATGCTTACACGCTGGCTGGTGCTTTGGATCGCAGTTTGGCTTCTTTCTCTCTCTTCTTTTTCTCTTTTTTTTGTCGTTTTTCTTCAGCTTTCTTTCTTCCATGTCTGTGTTTCAGGCCCCTTGTGTGCTAGCGCACGACTCGTGGTGCTAAAAGGGTTAGGTAAAAACCCTTTAACAAAAAAAAAAAAAAACAGGAGCAGATTTCTTAACTTTGTTCTGCTGCCTTCCTTCCCCCCCCCACTTTCATTGCCATCCCCATTCCCCAGCCATCCAGGTATCGGCCTACATGTAAACATGGAAGGGGGTGGTCACCTAGATGCAAGACGATGCAGAGGAGTGGGCTCTTCACTAGCCAAACGTGTAGTCAGGGAGAGGAAGGGCTAGTTGGGAACATCAGTAGTGGCCTCACATGAAAAGAGTTGCTGGTAAGCCTCCCTCGAACTGTTCATTCTCTGGCTAGGGCAGTTAGGTTTAAGTTGTAAGTCGCTCGATTAATGGGGAGTAGCAAGCATGTCTTGTTTCTCTTTTATGTTTTTATTTACAAATGTAGTTCTACCTTTTGCGTTATTCCACATTATTTGTAATTTTGGAAAGTGTTCGCCCACAAAAAATATATCTGTTTTTTTTCTGTGCAACATTTCATCACTGTGTGCAATATCGTATGTGCCAATGATGGCAATATATGTATATCAATTAAATATATGATTACTATTTGAAAGCACGTGACTAAATACCATGTTTTCGGGGAGTTATTTAGTTGTTTTTCTTTTGTTTCTCATGAAGGAGTTGTACGCTTTTGTTTGCACTTAAAGTCCCAACCTGGAGGAAAACATGGCTAACCAAGGTCTTAGCAGCCTGCAGTTCACATATGTACTTTAACTTGAAACAGAACTTTTTCACTGCAAGTATTCCTCTCTTAAAGAAAAGGGTCAGCTTGGCTTATGGTTTGTTGAAGGTAGGCTGTAAACAGACAATGGAGTTTTGTGTGGATAAGAAAAAAAAAAAAAAAGATATCTCCATTTTAGCTTTAAGCTAAGAAAAGGTGCTTCAGTCCAATTCTCATTAAAGTGTATGGTGAACTGTCTTCAATGGTTGTTGTGTGTAGCACTTTGCTTTCCAGGTTGATGAAATGCCTGACCAATACTTGTTTAAAAATTATCTCAAAGAATGTCGTTCTCTCGTCATGTCGCCTCTTTTTTTTTTTCCCTTTTTTTTTTTTTTAAAGAGGTTATTTGATTTGCTTATTTGGTTTTGATGCATTGAATATAATTTATGTACATTTGACAAATTTTAAAAATAAATTTAATTTACCCATTGAGGGAAAATCTGCATTCAAAATGTTTTTCATGCCTAGTTTGTTTCTGTTCGGGGTAAAAAAAAAAAAATCTTTTAAAAAGATGCTGTGTTGTCTATGTTGACTGATGATTCTTATGCTAAACTTTTTTTGTTTTTTTTACAAACATAAAAACCTTACAGTGGGAGCTACTTGATCAGTCTGGTCCTCTTGGCATATTTCTACACAACGGCTGTGACTAAGAAATGCCAGGCGTCCTCCACACATCCTGACCATGTCGTTTGACATGATTTGACGGTATCGTTGTTTTTCTGTGAGTTTCTCTGATCCTAATACTGACACGACAGCACATTGATCATGACCCAGCAGAATTTGGAAAGTTGAAACCCTTTATAACTGTTTCATACCTTTTTAGATGTATTCAGAAGTTTTAAGAAAAACAAAGCTACACTAACAAAACCATCGTCTGTGTTTGTGGGATAGGTTTGCTCAATACCAGTTAATAGTAATGATATTGAATAATATGTGAAGAGTAGGCCAGATTATCATTCATTTTATCAATACATTCTGGGTTGTTGTCCTGAAATTCACCAAGGAGATGCTTCCTGGGTCATTTACATGAAAGGGATTTCTGTTTCTTTCAACAGTTACTCAATCCCTTACCTTCTCCTCAGCCACCTAATAGTAGGAAACCACAGATCTAACATTCGTTTTCCTTGGTGATCGAACAAAGGCTCAGGATGTGTTCACAGGACTTTCTGCAAGTCATTTTGGGCCCAGTTGTTGCCCACATCACACAAGGGGAGATGGAAAAAAACAAAAAGGGGATATGTCAGCCAGCATCAACGATTGGTTTGGAGAATTAAGAAAAGGCATTTGACAGTGATAAATCAAATTTAGTGAAACCCAGAAAAGCTTAATTAATGCTGATGTTTCCACCGTACAGGCCAGTAAAGACAGCGGTGAAACGTGAAATCGTAATGCCTCTGGTACGTGACCAATGTCACCTGAGCATTTTACCACATATTAGATATGGTTCGCAATACTTTTCCTCCCTTTGGTTATACATGCGTGCCAGAGTGTTTTGCTCCTGGTGCGTCAGTGCTGAGCTTTAGACAGCCATATGGTGGCAGCATATGTATGAGAACGCAGTCTTCTGCTTTCATGTTGCTGCCATTTTCATTCGGCTTTAAATCGTGTAATGTTTAGAGGTAGTCAGGCAGTGGGCTTTGTTGGTGACGTAATTCATTTCAGGATGCTCTGACTTTCTCCACTAGAGGGTGGTCTTTACTCACAAATGACTGACTCCTGCTCAGAAAGGGGTTTGCACATCTTTGATTTCATTAGAGAGAATTAGCAGACTGGTCTGCATTATGTTATTAAGATATCTGAAGCTGTTTAGTTCCCATTGCTTTCATCTCATATCAATGTGTCCCTCCTTTTCTTATCTTCTTAGCATTAGTATGAAACACCATATTTGAGATTATGTTAATCTTCACGGGTTTTTAAAGTAAAAAAAACAAAAAACATTTCACATCATGTCCACAGTTTGAGCTGCCACAATTTTTACTGCATGGATACGGTGTCTCTGAGGGGTAAAACTTAGCAAGAATATACATAACAAAACAATGTTTACACCACAAAAAGACTTCAACGCACAAAATGTCAAAAACAGAAAAAAATCTCTTGGTGAGATATAACGTTTTTTTGTCTCTGTTTTGTTTTTTAGTTTATGTTGTCTAAAATTTTAATGCAGTTTATCAGTTTTCGTGTTTTTCAACATCTGAGCTAATGTTTGACTCCTTGGAGCCACCATATGTCAAATGTACCCAAAGATAAGAGTAACTGCTGAGTTCTCAGTCAATGATGTAAAAAAGGATTGAAAGTTTCTTATTTCTCTTTGTTTCTTTTTATAACGTACTTGAAGTGTGAGATCAACTTCCTGAGCTGTGCTCTTCCCAATTTGAAGTGCCTGTATATCTGTGAGTGTGTGTGTGTGTGTTGAGGGGGAGGGAGGGAACCGTGGAATGCTGTGATGTCATCAGCTCAGTCACACACAAACACACACACACACACACATACACACAAAGAGAGAAGCACCAACAGGCTTTCTGACTCTCAGCTTAGTTAGCACACTCTGCTGTGGAGCGGCTGCCTACATCCTACTGTGAGTACTTCAGCTAATTCTTTCCTTTTGCACTGTATCACGCACTCCCTTCCCTTACTTAACCCCCATCTTCTTGGGTTTTTCTTCTCTGTCAACAGTGTGTGGCAGATGCCGATCTGTGTTTCACTAAAGATAGTCTGAGACAAGCTTTCTTTCCCTCCAAGTGCTGTCTATGTGGTAGCCATTGTTTAACTTACCACTCTGAGCAAAGGAGTTCAGCTCTGTTCCTCTTAAAGAAAGCGAGTCACTCTCTCTACAGCTATGAGCCATTTGTACTCTTCATTTCCTCAAAACTCAAAACACTGATCATGCTAAAAACGGAGCTGCTATTTTGCTGGCGCTAGAGGGGAGAAAGGAACATGGGTTTTGGAAAGGGATGTGTGTTGGGGAGGGGAAGGAGCGAGCTGATGACAGAAACAGCCCCATTCCTTTGGAATCTCCTCCCATTCTGCACCGCAGTCCGTCTGTCAGCACAGAAAAAAGGACTTAAGGTCCCTGTTAAAGGAGAGGGCAGCAAATTCTAGTGAGACCAAATGCCGCACGGAATTAGCAGGAGAAATGAAAAGCAAGCCTCTGGGATAAAACTCTGATTTTCAATTGTGTTTGACAAAGCCGTTTACGGAAGGACACGTGACAACCTTTCAAATACCTCTGTGTGCTTCACTTGCAGATTGTCCCAGAGATGGCCTCCAACCAAAAAGAAAACTGACAGTCTAGCTGAGCTGGAAGCAAAACACAGAAAGGAAACAGGACTGTGTCTGGAGGTGTGTGTGTATGTGTGTGTGAGTGTGAATGACTGTACGGATGTCTGAGTTGTACAGTATATCTAAAAGTGTGTGAGAATGAGCATACACCCTGGTTCATGAAGAGTGTTTTATGAGGGTGAATTATAGTATAAGCATGCTGGGAAACTAAAACAACATGAGGCTATAAATCGCCAGGAGAAAGCCTCCACTTCAAGACGCTGCTCCTGCTCCTTCCTCCGGTCGCTCTGTGCTCAGTCTGGTGGCACTAAAGTCAACCCTTTGGCCAACATGCTGCAGCAGATTCTACAGGACATGTACATCGACCCCGATGTGCTGGACGCTCTCAACGAGGAGCAGAAAAAGACGCTCTTCCTGAAAATGCGCCAGGAGCAGGTCCGGCGCTGGAAGGAGCGCGAGGAGAAACTCGAGAGAGAAGGGGGCGACGCTGAGCCCAAGAGAGCAAAACCAAGAAAAGGTAACCACACGGACCAATCACATCCCCCTTACATTTCCTAACTTCTTTCACTTCCAGTTTATCTGGAGTGACAAGGTGCGCTTTCTAGTTTCTCCAGCACACAGCCTGTCACACATTCAACAAAGCTTCTGACAGGAAACCATCTGTTCTCCCTCACAGCAGAGCTGCATTGTGAACCGTTTTAGTCAAGATGTTTGCACAGCATTCTGTGAATCACCTGATAGACTGGAAAAGCACAAAAAAGGATTGGTGAAGCATGAGTGTATTGTCAGTTGCGCATTTCTAGTGCTGCTGTACGTGCTTTAAGTGGTGTAACTCACATTGGGGCTATTTGTCCACACAGGAACAAAACAAAGTCTGATGTCCTAAACAGTTACCTCTCAGAAACTATCATCACACACAATGGCACATTTAACAGTATTGTGAGGCACTCAAGTGGTGTTGATGGAACATCAATTAATTACATTGAGTACATCATGAACATATAAATACAAATACATTCATTCTTTTTTCTCACTCAGGATAGATCATGCTGTTCACAGGCCCTTTCAGATCATTTTGGGCCTGGGAGCAACAGAGGAGGTTTTGATTGTATCTTCATTGTCATGGAAACTGGGGGGGAAAGCCATAACAGCTAAAGATTAATGGGTTTTTTTTAACAGCATAGATAATGTTTTCTTTTAAATGTATTTATTTATCCTTGCTCCGGGGAAACCCACGAGCACTTTGAATAGGGTTTTTCTTTATCAGACACTGGCCTCTGCTCAAAAGCAACAGTTGGAGTTGACAGCGGTCGTGGGGCAGTCAAACAGGACAAAACAGCCAGAAAGCCAGGAAGCTACAAATCAGTTGTGAAATGTTTGACGCACACAATAGAATGTTCCCTGGCTGCATTTTCTCTCTTATTTCCTTGTACCGGTTCTAGTCTGGGAATGCACTGCGTAATGACATGGACGCACCAAAGTGCTCTATTATTTTCTTCCGTGAAGCAAAAGAACTCCCACATTCAAAACAAAAACCACAATATGACTTAAACAAATTAGCACGCGGCAGTTGGTGCGTTGCTTCTGACTGACACAGTAATGGGGTCTGTCTTGTCTTGGTTAATTACAAAGCACTTACTATTAACTTCAGTTCAGAGCTAGGGAACAGTGGCCTTTCTATCCTTTAACAGCCGATGCAGCTGTCCTTAGGGGGGCTGCTAGGAGACGGCAGGCACAGATCACGTGATCACAGCTCCTCCACACCAGCTCCCGGTTTTTGGGGTGGTTTTCTGTGTGGGGGGTTAGGGTTAGATTGCTTAAGAATCTGTGGATAGCCTGTGTTGCTATGTAAAAAAGGAAGTGAGTCAAGATTCAATCCATCCAATGACTAGCAGAGGGTGAAACAGGAAGTTTGCAGGATATGCATGTGTTTGGAAAACAAAGGCAGATTATTCATGTAATCTGAATGGCCTTGCGGGAGAGCTCACATGGTACATTTTCCTGCTTGGGGGGGAAACTGGTGTCCCACTTGTCTGTTCCTGTTTGGCCCAAAGACCGCTGCGATCACGGGAGTTTTTGCGGTTGAGCTGACTTCATGGTAATTAATGCTTATGTGTGGACTATGACTGTGTTGTGGGGCATCTCTGTGTGTTTATGAGAAGTTCAGACGGATGACATTCACATGGCACAGACTCTCTCTGCAACTTTGATCTACTTCCTCACATATGGAGAACTAGTTGAGTTTTCAGAGTTTTTTTCATCATCCTTGTTGATGGGATGAAAAAAAATGTTTTGATGTTTATTTTACAGTTTTCTTTACCACAGCACCCGCAAAGGCTCAATCCCCACACTCCAAGGAGTGGAGGTTTCTCATGCACACCTGTTTTTGATGCTTCCAGTTTTGGTAGTGAGCTTGTTCTGTTCTTACTGCCGCTTTTGTGCTGCCATCTTTGTGCGACTGGCTGGAATGTGATCCACAGGGTAGACAGGCAAAACCAGTTCACTGTATGTTTTCACCCAACATGTTCTCGCCCTGAACTTGAGACAGATGGGTTGTTGCCACATGGGGACTTCTTAGCCTTTCTTAGCACAAAGTCACAATTCAATGACATGTTTATACGTATTCATGTGTTGAATACGTAGTAACCGTAACCGTAACAGTAACCCTAACCCTTTAAGGCTTAAATGACTAAGGAGGCGAGACCAGTGTGACAGGATTTTGCTGCTTTCTTAATAGATATTGTTGTATTATGCTTGTTTGGGCACAAACTCAAACACCAGTCTCAATTTATTAGACAGTTGCAGATAGGTTGACAACCTTCTTTGTGAAAAACCTGAGAAAAAAAGATAAGACTGGCTACAGTTAAGACAAATCTATCAGTTTCCATTGAATAAGTATGTCTTCAAACTTTTGACTGGGCGTGTGTAAGTGAAATATTTCAAAATATTTGACTTAAGTTGTGAAACTCTAAGCTATTACATGAATCATCTGTTTGATTATACTTAGAGATCTAAATTAAATGTGATTTTGAAATATACCCAAGACATATTTAGGAATCATCCAGTATTCTTATTCATATTAAAGTATTAAAAAAGTTATAATATGTTAAGTAAGAATATTTCAGATGGTCTAGATATTAGAATTATTTTGATAATTACTTTGAAAACATGATTCAAATAAAAAACAGAAGTTTTAAAAAGAAAAGAAAGGGGAGAAAACAGAACTATATCATGTTAAACATTCCCATGTTCAAATCTTTGCAGGAGCATGCTGCTTCTCTCCTCAAAATTTACCAAAAAAATAGTGTTCCTTAAAAAGTGGGGCTCTGTGATTTACTAAAACTCATATATTAAAGTTTCATGTAATTGATCACCTTTTTTTCTTTGACAGCCAACAGTAAAAGTGTGAGCTGGCTGCCTGGCCGGGATGGAGATGTATCTGTCATTGTGATCGGGGACGTAGATGAGCTCACCTCCAAATTCATCGGCACTGGATTTCCAGAAAAAAAGTTACCAAATCTCCAGAACAACACAGTGTAATTTTTTTAACTCTTTTCTTATATAATATAGACAAATAACAATATCAAACATGGTAAAATGTGTTGAGCTTTTTTTTTAATAAGAAAATAATGTTGTTTCTACTGCAAGCATATAAATTACTTTAAACTGTGTGGGAGACAATGCGTATAGCTTAAACAAAGAAAGACAATGCCTTGTTATGTTTTATAGCCATCAGACTATTTTGAAGAGCAAAAATGTCACGGAAGACGTCAGAACTGAAAGAGAGAACCTGCCTCCAAAAACACAACCTGGAATTTCCTTGAATTTGAAGGTGCGTTGACGTTTGTTTTGTCTTTAGTGATGTAATTTGTTTTTTATGCTAAGATGACTTTTAAGCTTAAAAAACTAATTCAAATAAGATCATTTCATTCAGTAGAACTTGGCTTCCCTGTGCTTGTGTGCCTGCCGTGTTAATACTATTTCAGTAGAGGGGTTTGATGATAATGGTGGGGTAACTTCTTTTGAAATAGTGGGGTAACACCATCTCCAAAAGAGATTTGCTGTGTTGTCATGGAAACCGTGCATACACGCATCGGTTTCATCCGGCCAGGCCACAATAGCACCTGAAGCTAAACAGCAGCACCAAATAACTATTTCACATTGTACAGATGTGTCTTCAAAATCCTTATCAAATATCAAGATATATTGAAAAAAATCTTGGAAATTTTTTGTATTTGCTCCACTTTATCTTTTTGGTTTTGTTTTATTGTGGTATTTCTTTTGTTCCTCATTTTGAATGTTGAGCTGAGACAAAGTACAGAGAGATGACGTGTCGAGTCTTTTGTCTACTGACACGGCGCTGTATTTTCCAACAGGGCAAGAGTGAGGGGACGAGTACTTCACCCCCTCTGCCGGTGAGTTGAAGCAACTGCTTTCCTTTCCTTTGCTGTCCGCATGGCCTGCTCATGCAATGTCTGTGTTGAACCCACAGGTGTCAGTGAGCGAGCAGACACCAGCCAAAGCAAAAGAGAAGGTAATTATTAATTAAAGCAATTATATATTTTTTCATATTCATGCGCAATCCATATTATTATTCCAGATGTTTGTTTGTTTTTTGCTTCATAGACAGTTTGTTGAGCATACAACTATTTGAATGAGTTGGATGTGCTCTGAATAGAACACTTTTAAAAATAATCTACCATGATGTGGTTCATAAAGTAGCAATCCACTCCCTAACGCCTTAAAATGCGACTTCAGAGTGCATGCGTGTCCTTTCATGGCAGTCCCACCCTCTGTGAGTAACAGGAAACGGTGGTTAGGGCCAGCTGTCCCCTCACTCCCAAGCCCTTTTGCAGATCGTCTTTCCCTCAGCATTCCGGTCCCTTTGTGCTTCAGTTTGTCTGAGCCGCCGCAGCCCTCAAGGGTTGCTCTGTAGGGGGGGCAGCTGCACGGAGCTGTCCTCCCACTGGCTCCATCATCACTCTAGATTTGCCTTGTCTGGGGAGCCTGTTTTCTATCTTCCATTGCTTTTTTTCCCCCCCTCCTGTCTTTAAGTGCACGTAGATGTGAATGTGTGTGTGTGTGTGTGTATGTGCAGGTGACACGTTGCGCATGAACAGCTGAATCACAGAGGCAAGGCAGGATTTCTGGACTGCCCTAGAACAGATGGTTGATGAACTTGATCAGGGAATTAAAACGCCAGAGATAGAGAATGCGTCAGTCGCAGATGGATGGGATTGTGGGATAGTCTCCTGAGGTTTGGGCGCGTGAGCTCTCCTCCGTTCTGTTTTTTCCCTCCTCTGCACCACAGAAGGACATTTCTCTGCCTCACATCCCTTAAATCTAGACCAGCTTCTCCATATTACAGGCCCCAACACATTTTTTGGTAACCCCTCTGCTGATGTGGCCGTGGTCATCCTCCACCTTAGGAAGTTAGGGCAGTCTGACGGGGGGAAATTCAAAGCGAAAGCCTCCCCTTAACAATTACGCCGTTGAATACCCTTCTTTTAGAGTGAATGATTTCCTCCTGGAAACAGGCAGGAGCTGGGTTTGATGTTGTTACACTGACTGTTGCTAACGCTGCTGCTGGTTTTCTCCCTTTGATTTTGTGAGGGATGGAGTCATCCTGTGAGGGGAGGAGGGAGTAACAGTTGATTAAGAAGGCGTAAGATCAGGAAGGAAGATTAGCAAGGCAGCTTGATTTTTAAGTCACCATACAATTTTCTCCCCACACATCCTTAAACTCTTAATCAGTGGTCATAGTTCTGTGTGTTTCATTATGGAAGAGCGTTGTCATTGGAGAGCTGTAATTTGGTGAATCATTCACCCAATGATTTAATCAAACATGACAGTAATTCCACTGTATATGAATTAGTTGTCAACACTGATCGCACTCTTCTAACCTCTTTTGTCACTCGTCACTCTGCTGCTCTACTTGAAGTCACCCAGTGGGAATGAGGAGAAGTCAGTTCCCCAGCCCTTCATCGGCTCCAGAGCAAACGCCATCAAAGTGAGGCCGGCTCCTGAGAAGGCAACGCTAGGCTGTGTCAACAAGAGACCCAGTGCCGAAAATCCTAGGCTGGCTACCACTGTGCCATCGCCATCGCCAAGCGGCACCATCAAAACCGAGTCTGGATCAACATTAGCCACCAAAGGTAGCCTGCGCTCAAAGGAACCCCAGAAGCCCCAAGATTCACAGAGTGGGAAAGGTTAGTGAGTATGGGATCAGAGATCAGGGGAAATTCTGAGTCATGTGTCAAAACATATCTATTCTAGAATTTTGAAACCCTGATTGTGAATGTCTGTCAAATTTCTTTTAGTAGGTGTAGCAAATGTGAAAAATTAACATCTGGTGTCACTGTGGATAATCAAATCAGAGGCATTCCAAAAAGGGATGTCAATTTTTCTTCCTCTATAATTCCTATTATGCTTTTCAGTTAGATGTTATTAGAGGCAGCGAGAACACTTGTGTGGGTTGAAACTCACTCCAAAATACTGCAACTAGCATAGATGACAGCCACCACAAGCACTGAGCCAAGAAGAGAATCCTTTTCCATCGCTTTTTCTGTAAGAATTGTGGCTCTGGGAGCTGGGCAGAACTAGTCGGGACAAAGTTCACTTAACACAGTTTTCTCACTACTGCAGAGGAAGAGGGATTTATTTCCGCAAACCCAATACGCTGGCCAAATGGTGCCTCAGCTTCCTGGAATCTTTATAGACTGGCAGAGAAAATGAGGCCAGCCTAGAGGGGAAAAGCTTATAAGACTGAGATTTGGCCCTTGGTCCAACATCCTGACTGCACACCTGCGTGTTTTTTGCAGTGTTGTCATTGTCTCATTTGAGAAAAAAATAAATATAGTCCTGATTTGTCCAGTCCAGTTGAACGCGCTCACCTATTCGCAGACACTCTTTCAGCACAGCCATCTTCTTATCATTACAGGGGCCTTTTTCTCTGTGACACACACTCAAACACCAATGAACGCTTATAAGAAAGTCTGCAGTTCGTTTGAGAAAAGGGTTTGAGGATTCAAGGAATGGAACCATCAAACTTGAAATTCACAGCCCATTCTTCCTCTTCAGCTATAGTTAATTTTCACTGTTAAGTGTTAATGTAAACTCTAAAGAAGGAATTTAAAAGCGTTTGGTTTAAATAGACCTCGAAACAAGAAATAGAAAGCCATCAAACAGACCATACTTTCCTCACAACAAAAATCAAATAAAACAATCAGCAGATGATGCCAGAGAAACTATATTTATAGAGAATTAATACTGGAATTACTTTAAATTCAGCAGTATATACAAGTGAATTTGTTTATCATTTCATATTATTCTATCATGGTTAATTTTGCTTATTTGTTTTGGCTACCATTTTATTCAGCATAAAGTGACCTAAATATTCATGGAAAAAGGCTATGGGGGTTGATGTTAGCACCATCCAGTGGATGCTCTTGTTACTGTAGAAAAAGAAAGAGAAGTTAGAGAAGAAAATATCTAAATTTCCATGAGATCCCTCTGCTGGAAATTTGCTCATCCTGCATTCTCTCTTAAAACATGCCGCACTGTCAGGAAGCAGCAAACGAAGTACGACAACTGGTGCAAGTTTATATTTTCAAATATTCCTTGAATAATGTTGCACTAGGGCTAGGCAGTTTGGTGTAAGAACCGCATTTAATTCATGCACACTGAAAAAAAACAGTTGAATTCGGACATCTCAAATTGCTATGTCAGAGTCCAAAGTTTTCTATGTCAGTCATTTCCCTCATAAATTCAAAATAACAGCAGCTTTTCTTTAAAATATAAACTTAACAGACATTTCCTCAGTGTATTCTTTGGCCTGTATGTTTAACTACTTCATAAAGACAGTTTAATGGGAAAAAACATCCCTGTTTGTTATTTTCCCTCGTTCTCTTGCTCTCTTGTGTTTTGCTCACACTGGACTTCTCTGTCTCTTACACTTAAAACATTGTCAATGTAAATAATCATCACAGAACATTGAATTTCAAATCTGTATATCATTCTTTACAAATTTATCCTCGACTATTGCCAAACAGGATGTCAGTGGAGGCATCTATGGAGCTTTATGATGATTAAATCCGTTGGAACAGGAACAGTTTTGCAGATATAAAAATTACTCGCATCTGAGTACAGAGAAGAAACCAAATATTCACTCCCAATAAAACTTGGTAGAAGGGGGCAAGTAGTTCATGTGTGTGTGTGTGTGCTTCCACCCACATTGGTGACTGGATATTAGATCACTGGACTGGGCACCAAATAAGGGACAAATGTGGGGAAGAGGGAAGTGAACGCAGAAGAGCAGCTGCTGTGGTGGGAGTGGAGGTGGGCTGAACACGGCATTGAATAAACGTGTCTTGACTGTGGTCGAATGTGTCCTTCACAACGGTGGGATGCTCGTTCCAAGTAGAGGAGGTAGACTAAGGCTCATGCCTCAGCTGTTTTCTTTCCAGTGACTTCGAGAAAAAAACACTAAGTCATCTGATCCTGACATTTGAGTGAAGTACGACTAGTACAACACAGTCGCCAGACTTAAATAGTTTGTAATCCCTGGATTTAAAATAGAAGAATTTGGAGATATTGTGCAGCAGATTGAAATCTATGTCGACATTTTATTTGCCAGACTGAAAAGAAACGGTGAAGGTGTTATCATTTAATTCCAGTTTAAGTCAATATGTATTTGTTACTATGCAAATGTTTAAAAAGTGACATAACTTTAGCCCTGGAAGGATAACACCTTTATACCTTGCGGGAGGATCTAGAGTTGTTAAAATTTTTGCCATATTTTCACCTTCCTCCATTTAATTTACACCAATAGACTATCGCATAGAACAAAAACAATCAGTTTGTTTCTCACTGAAAATCTGTTTGAGCTGAACACCTTTGAAAAACTTTATTCAAGTTCAGTATCAGCAATAGAAGTGTGGTGCACAGTAGAAAGGGGTCGCGATAAGGGTAAGTCAGAATCTAAAGCAAGAGTTGCTGTATGTTGTGACATAATGTGTGCAGTCAGCTGTTGTGTGAGAATAGGTGTGTGAGCAGTCTCCAGTAGCTGCAAATTAACGCGTGTTTGTGTTTATGAGCTGTTTTCGCTCTGTTCCACGGCTTCCTCTCCTCTGTCTTCACCTTTCGAAGGGAAGGACAGGCATTCCTGAGCTGCTTCCCGACTCTAGCCTTGGGCGACGCTCAGCCAAAGCTGATAAGTGACAGGGGCCCCAGCCCCCATTCAGGAGCCAGCCCCACGCTTCCACACACGCACACACACACACACGCACGCGCACACACACACACTCACCTATCTCCTTGCCCTTCAGTCCGCAGACGTGCTGCTCGGGAATTCTGCCCTCTGCCCCACTTCTGCCCCCCACACCCACCACCGTATCCAGGCCCCCCCCAGCCAGCCCCTCCTCTTTTCTAGCCAGAGACGCGGAGGTCTTTGAAGAGATAGATTGCTCTTTCATTTTTGTGCTCACTTGTTCATTGTAAGCGCTTCCTGCTCTTTCCCTGTGTCTTCCCCGTGTGTTTACGAGCCGGACAGCCACGTATTAAGTGCCACCTAAAAGCTCGAACCCATGATTAATCAATCCCACGGCATGATTTAGGGCAGGCATTCCCTTTTGTGTTCGAGATTGTTTTTGCAGGAACCCTTAATCACTACCCCCGTAGACAGATCAGGGTGCAGCTGTTAAGGCGAGTTTCAGGTGAAAAAAGGTGTGGAGTTCATGCTTTTTTTTTTCTTCTCGGGTGTGTTTAGACAGGTTGGTCAGGTTATCTGTGCAAAGGTATTATGGTTTGCTTCAATTTTTTTTTAGTCAGCGCCCCATAACACTAATCCTTCCTCTCTCCTTCTTTTTTTCTATCTCTCCGTCATTCTATTAAGCATTCCACTCAGACGTGCACCAAGACTCGGAGCTAAAAAAAAAAAAACTCTCTGACCGTGGATGCGTGTGTGCCTGTGTTTGTGAGCCACCGGGTGTGCGTGTTTCAGTGCGTGCTTGAATGTGTGTCAGCCTCAATTGCTGGAGCCTATCCAAGGTTTCCGTGGTGACCACACAACACAACGAGACAATCAGAGGCAAGCCCACGCAGCGCGGCGAGAGGACATTAACACAGGAACTGAGGGTCAGGGGGCAGAGGAAGGCAGGGCAAGGCAGGCGGGGAGGAAGATGAGGAGGAAGGTAGAGGGAGGTGTTGGAGCCACAGGCAGACCGGGGCAGGAGAGGGTGGGAGCGAGGAGAGGAGGGGAGGGTAAACAACAATAACCAATAAAACATCCTTAAAGGCTACTTTAGGTTTCTTCCTTTCATGCCTGCAGGACATCAAGAGCTTTAAAGGTTTCTTGGCCCCAGGAGTGCCCGTGTAGTTTTGGCTTTACCCCAGCCTCCATGTGTGTGCTTCGCCGCGGTGTTAGTCAGAGATGGCGGCATGCGTGACTGAATCTGTGAGCAGGAGGGGTGTGTGTGAGGGCGCATGTCTATGTGTGTGTGTGTGTGTGTGTGTGTGTGTGTGTGTGTGTGTGTGTGT